AGCGGTTTGCAGAATCGTAGTCGCATCCAGATTTCTCGCGGAGAAGCCTGTGCTCCACTCGGAGCTGTCTCCGGCCATTCCGACGGGCCACTCTACACGGGGCCACAGTGCTCGTCCTCGAGCCAGCCTCGATGCTGCCACTTAAATATTGGGTTTTAAGACTGTGAGTGTGTCAACAACACACTAGAATCACTTGTACAATTTTTGAGATGGAGATATCTCGAAACATTGCTTTTCAGTGGAGGGTGGCCCGCCGCCAGAGGACGGTACCGGTGGTCGTGGCGCTCACAACCTGTTATGGGAGTCGGTTGCGTCAGAAGAAGCCGCAAGCCCCATCGCAGAAAAAAGCGACTGCGACTACGATTCTGCAAATCGCTGGAAGCCCTGCTCAGAGATTGCCACCGCGTCGCCAGTCCCTGCCCCTACGTCCAGATCTACCACCATAGGCCACCGCCACCGACCTCATTACTCTTGTTCAAAGCTTCAGATCTTCACTGGAAAACCATCCCTGTCTGGCTCTGTTGGCACTCTACGTCGATCCATTTAGAACGGCGGGGGCAACGACTTACACACTGTCGTAAGCCGCAATGGCTACTCATGTGAGAAATACGTTCGTATCCGTCATCGAGGACCTTGAATCGAGAACCATGCGAAGGAGAGTTGTACCTCTGATGCGTTGGAACCAGCCGTATCTTCGAACATCTTGTCCCGGGATCATCAACATATTTTGGCTCCTAATAGTCTCTATGCGTACACATCGCTCGGGGTGCACTGGGCTCAACATGAAGCCACGGTCCAATCGCTCTCTTCGGATACGTTTGAGCCTTGCTTCGGATGGATCTTTTCATTGTCATCGGGAATTCGTTTGTTCGACTCATTTGGGCTATGGTCCTTTTCGAGCGACACGTATTGGGCCACCCAGAGCCACACTCATTGGTTCCCTCCGTTGATTGAATGCGTTGACCTGTATCTGCACTCGGTTTTCATCGTGGTGTCTACGTTGGTCAGTTCTCGTGGTTCCCCACCGACTACGACTTTGTGCGGCCAAGGCACATTGGCGTACCCATATTTTTCTGCGCGATGAACTCGGCGGTGGGGCATCACACAAACTCGGAACTGAGCAGCTTAACGCGTCCTTTCATCTAAATACATATCTGCCGTCATTTTATCCGCTCCAAATGCTTCGTATCATTTATATTCGTTGAATTCTTGCTAAGCTATGTGATTGTGTTTCGCTTGCCTAGCGCTCAACCCCATCATCACACCGCCGTACGATTTCTATTAATACCCATGAAATCCTGAAGCCCACAAAATCCGTAGAGTCGAAACAAAAGAAGAAAAATGTCTGAGGGTTCGTAGGTCGGCGTTGTGACGTGTTAGCCCTAACTGGACTGATAGTACAGTACGCAAAAATCAGGCGTTTTAACACGCTTCAGCATTATTCTTCCACGAGTGTCCTGGAAGGCGCTCGCCTGTGTCTCTTGGTCATAACCGTGACAACTCTCATCGCCGAATTGGGACCAATTGGATGTCTCCAGAGTCCCCACCATCGTATATCTGGAATAAATATGCCATGAGCAACCACCCATCATGATCTACCGATGTAGAGGTCGACGTACGACTGCGGCCAGTGTCGTTACTCCCTGTGTTCTGTGGCTCATACTTGCTGCCGGGTGGGTGCGTTCGTACCAGTGTAGCTCATCCTCTGTACGATATTCTGGAGTATTTTGACTTAGAATATCTTCTCCTCTTCGTCGAACGCGAGGTCTACCGAATGATGGACCCGAGATCGGGACGGTCTTGGTCGCCAAACCATGAGCGCGGTAGAAATTGCGAAGATTAAGTACCAACTGGTTCGTGACTAGATTGGCTAGGCTATACATGTTTAACAGTTAAAATCTATAGATCTGTCTGAAAAACAAGACAGCTCACGCAGAGTAGTAAGGCCTGTTTTGAGAGGACAACGACCTGATATTCTTCCAAATGATCGGGGAGGTCCCAAGACCGCAACATGTCAGATTGGAGCCGTGGTAGGCATATATACGTCGACGATTCATCGTCCCGAGTGGTGTACTTAAGTGGAGGGTGTGGGAGAGGAAGGTGTGTACAGTTTCACGTTCCAGAGCGTCAGTTTAGGGAGAGTATGGGGACATATCCTGAGGGAAAGAAACTGAGGGCGAAGAGCCTAATGTCAGTAAGACAGAGATAAAGAACGGGGGAGCTGGGCGCACTGGAGGATTTCGTCCACTGTCCAATCCATCCCGCCCATCATATATCCGTCACAATAGTCTCCAACGGCATACAAAACTCTTGCAAATGACCTTCGCCAAGAAAGAGAGATATAACATGACCAATTCAACCTATCAGGAGAACACTGAGCTACATAGATGAAGCGTTTGGAGGAGGCATCTTCGCGGTAGTCGGAGGAGTTGCTGTTCGAAATGTGGAGTTTATGCTGTAGAACAGCCGCGGACCCAGTGGTGTGGCACTTGGGTAGGTATCCAACCCTTTTCAGAGAGGTTTTGAACAAGTGGATGGCATTCAGGCAAGGAGCAAAAGTCGAGCAAGACGGATGTGGTGGGCGCGAGCGCTGAGGTCCACGGAGCTGAGCCACGCGAGTGATCCCGGGATGATAAGATAAGATTTCATTAGCACGCCTCTTTTCCCTCTCCCTCATGCTACGGTTCCCGTCTTTCCGCTCGTCCTCGTCCTCTACATACTCCTAATACCAAATTCTTAGATGCTAGCTTCATTATAAACTGAACCGCTTCCTCTGATGTACAACGCCGGCCTGTCCTGATTCACGTTACCGCAGGATGCCATCTCCGATGATATATGCAGAGATATAACTTCTCTCGGCCATACCACACTCTACCGAGTCTACGTAATTTCTTTCGTTGATAACGGCTCTCAAGACTACCATACAATATGACCCATATCTCCCCCATAGGTATCGTACAACATACTAAGTCTAGTCCTATGCCCTGGCTGATTTGCTACTGCACTCTCTCCCGAGTCATCACTTGCGTATCCGTCTCTTCAGAGCGCCGAGCGCACCTTTCGGCAATGTAAGACCACGTCTTAGACTTGTTCGGTAATATTATCAGCACCATGCGTCTTGATATGTGGAAAGTACCCTCACTTACGCTGAACCATCCTGGCGCATAGAATAAATGGAATCAATTGCCGCGC